CCCACTCTCCCTCGTTCTTCCCCTCCTCCTCTTGCAGGGCCCGCGCCAATTCCAATGGCGGGCAGAGAGATGTACGCCCCCGAAGGATTGTCCGCCCGTTCCGGTTTGCCCGTACGTCTAAGCCCGCCGGCCCCAGCAAAGAGAAATAATCCCCCCGAAAGGGGTGTGATCGAAGACGAAGAGGGCGGGTATCGAGGGTGTAGGGTATACGTGTTGAATGACTCGCGGGCAAGTAAGAGCGCACAGCCTTAAAATGGTTGTTGTTGTTGTTGTTGTTGTTGTTGTTGTTGTTGTTGTTGTTGTTGAACTCTAATTACTGAAGAATAATTATTGTTGATCCCCCCCCCTCCGGCGGACATTGTATTTTTTCAATTGAAGTGCCCCTTCCGGGGCTCGCACCCTGTTTTTTATCAGGGAAAGTCGTGGGCATCAAACTGCGTTGTTGGCCCCCCGGACAACAACAACAACGGCTCCCGCTTGATACTTCCTCCAAATTTACTCAGGACCCCCGCCCCCGCCTGGGACTTCCTCGCAGTTTACTCAGGCGGAGGCGCTCCCGCCTGAGACTTCTTCGCAAATTACTCCGGACCCCCGCCCCCGCCTGGGACTTCCTCGCAGTTTACTCAGGCGGAGGCGCTCCCGCCTGAGACTCTCTCGCAAATTACTCCGGGAGCGGGGTCCCGCTTGGGACCTCCCTCACAACTGAGCATCAAATGGTGTTGTTGGCCCCCCGGACTACAACAACAACGGCTCCCGCCTGATACTTCCTCCACATTTACTCAGGACCCCCGCCCCCGCCTGGGACTTCCTCGCAGTTTACTTAGGCGGAGGCGCTCCCGCCTGAGACTTCCTCGCACATTACTCCGGGAGCGGCGCTCCCGCCTGGGACCTCCCTCACAAGTGAGCCCTGCTGAACTCTCAATACTGAAGAATAATTCTTCTTGATCCCCCCCGGCGGACACAGTATTTTTCCCCGACCTGGCGGAGGGGTTCCCGTTGTGTCCCCCTGGGGGGGTCTGGGGAGGGGACCCCCCGGGACATGGCCCCGGCCACGGGCGGAACGCCGGCGGAAGACGGCGGAAGTCCGGCAGGACACGGCATCATTTCTGCAGACGCGCTTCCGGGAGGCACGGACGGCCCCAAGATGGTCCACGAGATGGTTCACGAAGGCCTCGAGTTGCCGAAAGATCGGCCTAAGACGCTCAAGATGGCGTCCCGACGGCCCAGGGAGCCCCTAAGACGCCCCGAAAGACCCCCAAGAGCTTTCCCAGGAGAGTCGGAAACGTCAAAAACCATAAGTTTTCCTTACGTGTTCGAAGGTTTTTGAAGTTTTTGCATTTTCGGCCGGTCCCCGGGCGGCCTCCCCGGGTCGGCCTCCCACCTCCCTCCCTCCTCCCTCCTCCCTCCTCCCTCCTCCCTCCTCCCTCCCCTCCTCCCTCCATCCCTCCTCCTCCCTTCTCCCTCCCCTCTCCTGCCTCCCTCCTCCGTCCTCCCGTCTGCCTCCTCCCTCCCCTCTCCTGCCTCCTCCCTCCTCCCTCCTGTTTCTCCTCTCTCCTTCCTCGTCCCTCCTCCAAACTCCCTCCTCCCTCCCTTCCTCCCCCCTCTCTCTTCTCTCTCTCTCTCTCTCTCTCTCTCTCCCTCTAAATCGTCCTCCCCCCTCCGCGTCCCGTCCCTCCTAGCATCTTCCCTCCTCCCTCGTCCCTCCCTGCTCCCTTCCCTCCTCCCTCGTCCCTCCGCCCGCCCTTCCAAAGAGAAATAATCCCCCTAAAGGGGGTACGTTCGAATACTAAGAGGGCGGGTATCGAGGGTGTGCCTCGTGATTCATTCAGGATTCACCCTTTAGTCACCCGCCCGCCAGGTTTCGCCCGCCCGATCCGCCTGTTACAGCCCGCCCGTTCGCTCTCTTGGCATCTCGCCCGCCCGCTTTAAGCCACCGCCCGCCCGACCCGCCAGCGAGGGTCCGCCGCCCGACCCGTCCGTTGGCGTCCGCCCGCCCCGCCAGCCCGACCCGCCCCTCAGAGTCCGCCGCTCGACCCGTCTGTCTGGTTCGTCCGTTTGTTTACCTCCTCTTTTGCCCCCCTCCCCTCCTGCTAACCTCTTTCGTCCTCCATCCATCCTCCCCCCCTTGCCCCTTCCCTCCTCCCTCCCTCCCCCCACTCTTTTCCTCCTCGCTCTCCCTTCCTCCTTCCCCCTGCTCTTCCTGTTTTAGGGGCTGCGCCAACTACACGTGGCGAGTAAAAAAGATATACCCCCAAAGGGGTATGACCGAAGACGAAGAGGGTGGGTATCGAGGGTTTGGGATTTACATATTGAGTGACGCGCGCGCATATAAGAGCGATCAGTCTTAAGATGATTGTTGTTGTTGTTGTTGAACATTATTACTTCTAAAGAATAATTATTGTTGGGACCCCTGGTGCACGACCCCCCCGCCGCGCCTAGGCCGCAGCCTCATTTTCATCATTTTCGTGAGGAAGTCTCAGGCAAAACGGGGGGTCCGGATCCGGTTGTGTTGTTACGATCGGTTTTCCCTTGCAAAAAATAAGCTAAAGTGGACATTTCTTGTTCTAACATAACCAAACTTCAAGAATCCCTTGCAAAAAATAAGGTAAAGTGGACATTCGCGCGCGCAAGACGAAATCCTTCCAAAACCTTAGTTTTCGTAGCGATTTTAACATAAAAACATAAAAAAACCAATGGTTTTTCAAACAAAAATTGTCAACATTTCATCCCGCGCGCTCTTGCGGATTCGTAGGAAACCCAACACTTTTTAAACATTTCTGTCAAACGGGCTTTTGCGAGCAACTTTTTCGAACTTCTGCAACAACGGTTGCGCACCTGCCAGGGCCATCATCCCTGTCAAATAATACCATGCGGGACACATTCGTTTTTTCTTCGCGCGCGCACGCCGTCGTCGTCGGCCGCGGGGCCCTGAATAGTAGCCACGGTCGTCCGCATGCCACGAAGTGAAGTGTCCGAACGTCATAGGGCGGGAAGCTGGGTGTGGGTGGTGGCGAAGAGTCGTTTGGAAATTTGGTAGAGCTTGAACCGGCCCCCCCACAAAGTGGGGGTATTGCCCGCCTCCTATGAAAACCCTGGCACTGGTGAGAACGGAGTGTCCCCACGTGCTAGTAATTGTTGTTGTTGTTGTTGTTGTTGTTGTTGTTGTTGTTGTTGTTGTTGTTGTTGTTGTTGTTGTGTGCGTGTGTGTTAGTCGGTCGCTGTCCATCTTGCTTCCCTGCCGTGTCCGCGCTGCGCCTCGCGTGTGGGACGTCCCCATGGGCAGCGGCCAGTACGCTCCCCTCTCTTCACGCCATCCACGCCCGGATGGCGATGTGCATCCCCCCCTCTGAGCCAGCGCGCGCGTGCACAGGCCTTGGTTCCGGCTGCAGCGCATGACTTCCTTTGCCTCTTCGCTGCGCGCGAGGCCGCGATCGCCAAGGAGTGTGTGTGTGTGTGTGTGTGTGTGTGTGTGTGTGCGTGCGTGCGTGCGTGCGTGCGTGCGTGCGTGCGCGTGCTTGTGTGTGTGTGTGTGTGGGCGGGTGGGTCGGTGGGTGGGTGTCATGAACGGGGCCATGATACCTTCCAGATTTCATGCCCACCTTTTTCCCCAATCATCCTGTGGTGTGAGGTCTTCGTTTTGAAGGGACAGCGCCCCGCGTCCCTGTTCTCCTCTCCTCCTCCCCCTCCTGCCCCCTCTCCCTCCTTGCCTGTGCCCCCCGCACAAATCAACCCTGCCAGCACACCCCTCGCACGCTTCGTGGCCCCATAGGGAGTTCCACCGAAGGCCACCGTGGCCGCGGTCGCACGGCACTACCGCGCCCGTTTCGGCACACCCCTGACACGTTTCGTGGCCCTGTAGGGAGTTTCACCGAAGGTTCCACAGCTGCGGTCGCATGGCACCTTCGCGCCCAGTTCGGCTCACCCCTCACACGTTTCGTAGCCCCATATGAAGCGTCACCGGGGTCCCCAGTGGCTGCGCTCCCATGGCGCCCCCGCGCCGTTTTCGGCACTCCCCTCGCACGTTTCGTGGCCCTATAGGGAGCTCCACCGAAAGCCGCAGTGGTTGCGCTCGCATGGCACCACCGCGCCCAATTCGACACATCCCTTACACGTTTCGTGGGCCCATAGGGAGCTTCACCGGGAACCCCAGTGAATGCGTTCGCATGGCGCCACCGCGCCCGTTTCGGCACACACCTCGCACGTTTCGTGGCCCCGTAGCGAGCTTCACCGAGGGTACCAGTGGTTACGCTCGCATGGTACCACCGCGCCAATTTTCGGCGCACCCCTCACACGTTTCGTGGCCCCATAGGGAGTTCCACCGAGGGCCCCAGTGGCTGCGCTCGCATGGGGCCACCGCGCCCATTTCGGCACTCCCCTCGCACGATTCGTGGCCCCGTAGGGAGATCCACTGAGGGCCCCAGTGGTTGCGCTCGCATGGCATCACCGCGCCCGTTTCGGCACACCACTCACGTTTCCACCGAAGGCCCCAGGGGCAGCGCCCGCATGGCACCACCGCGCCCAGTTCGGCACACCCCTCACACGTTTCGTGGCCCCGTAGGAAGCTTTACCACAGGCCCCAGGGCAGCGCCCGCATGGCACCACCGCGCCGATTCCGGCACACCCCTCACACGTTTCTCTGCCCCAAGGGGAGCTCCACCGATAGCGGTCGGTACCCACCACGCGGTATTTACAATTGTATTCACAATTGCGTATTCACAGTTGACATCCCCTCGGCCCCGCCTCGTCCGCGCACATGCCTCGGGCCATGATGCGCTAAGTCCGCTCATCCTAGCCCGATCCAGGCCTCCCACAGGGGGGTCCGAGTGGACGGGTCGGAGGGCCGCGCCGCATCGCCGATGTATCGATGATGCGGCTCGATGTGGATCCCGATTTCCCCCACGCCGACACCGGCGATCATCACCTCCGTCGCCTGTGATTCGACGATGCGGCGCGATCCTTCGACCCCATCGACTCGGACCCCATGTGGGAGGCCTGTGGAGGAGCGCGCCGGCTTCTTCGCGAAGCCCTACTCGGAGGAGGTCTGGGCGGAGAAGGCCGCCCTGAAGTCGGGCGAGCTCCGCGACGAGCTGGCGTGGCAGCCGCAGGGCGCAGCGGGCTCCCGGGCGCCCGAGTTCGAGGCTCACCGAGCGCGTTCCACTACTCTCAAGTCGGGCCTGTCCCTCTACAGGAGGAAGATCCAGAAATAGCCCAAAAAAGGTCAGGGGATGATTTTTGGACCATTTTGAGCATGTTTGGAGTATTTGTTGTTGAGTATTCTCACTTGTTCGTCCGAAGTCCCCCTGCAGGGGGACAGGCCCGACCTGGCACTACTCGCACAGGGCCTCGATGCCCTGGATCGCAGATCCCCCTCCGCGGACCCAGGCCGCTGGCGCGCAGCCCCTTCGCGAGTCGTGGAGCGCGCCTGTCTGGAGGCGCGCCCGGCGTTCAGTGCCGCGGCCCCGCCCGACTCGAGCGCCCCCGGCGAGCAGCCGTGCGGGCTCGACGGCGGGGCCTCGGCGCACCCGGCGGAGGGCGCCGGCCCGCGGGAGACGGGCGTGCGGCGGCTCTCGCGCAGCGGGTGCGTCTGGCTGCTGGAGGGCGCCTGCATCGAGGACCGCCGCGTGGTGGCCTTCGCCAGGGGCCCCTCTTCCGGGGCGGCGTGAGGGGTCGAAGAAGGCAAAGCGGCTTTGACATACACTTTTGGCGCGTCGCGCGGTTTTCTTGGATCCGCGCTGGGCCCCCCGGCGGCGCCGCCCATGGCGCTCTCCGCGCGCCGGGCAGGGGGCTCCAGCACAGGATCCAAGCAATCCGCCCGGAGCGCCAAAAGTTTATGTTTATGCAGTTTTTTGTTTTTACTATATTTATGGTGCTGTTTTTTGTTGTTGTTTCCTAATCTTCAGTCGGGCCTGTCCCTCTACAGGGGGAATAGTCTGGGAACGGTTCTTTTTGATTATTTTTGATAATTTTCGGGGGGTATTTTTAGAGGTTTGTTTTTTCGTCGAAATCCCCCTCTGTCTGTAGGGGGACAGGCCCGACTTGATTCTGAGAAGCGGGCGATCGTCGTCAGGGGCGCCTGCGCCTGGGCGGCTGGAAAGTTTCTGCCCCCACGTTGCCGCCGCAAGGGTCTAGAGTCTAAACTCGTAGGTGCCTCGACGCCGGCTCTTGTCTCTTGTCTCCCCGCCCCGGCGCCCCGGCGCCCTCCCGCCGCACCCTCGTAGGTGCCTCGACGCGGGCTCTTGTCTCTTGTCTCTTGACGTTGCCGTCGCAAGGGTCTAAATTCTCCAGCGCAGGCGCCCCCGACAGCGAAGAGTTTACTCCGGATTCCATAATAAAGGGAGGGGGGTCTCATTTCGGGGGGGGTCTCTTCCAGGCTATCTTGGAGGGCCTGGGGGGTCTGGGGACGATGTTTCGGAGGGTTCTCCCACGGGGGAGGTCTGAAATGGCTTGTCTTGGAGGGTCCAGACCCCCTCCCTTTTATTGCGAAATCTGGAGTATCTTGCACCGTTCTTCGCCCGTTGATCGAGGGGGGGGGGATGGGCTCGCAGAGGCCGCGGGCCGCCGCCGCGGCGAGCGCCTGGCCCAACCTCCCCTCCCCCTCCCCCTCCCCCCTCCCCCTCCCCCTCCTCCTGCTCCTCCCCCTCCCCCCTCCCCCTCCCCCTCCCCTCCCCCTCCTCCCCCCGAGAGGGCTCGTCGATCGACCCGTCGACCCCCGACGATCGCCCGTCGATCGCCCACAAGTAGGGGGGGCCCGAAGGGGCGCGCCCCGCCCAGGGTCCCCTGGGGAGGTCTCGCGGTCGAGGGCCTCGCGCCGAGCCGTCGACGAGGTGTCGCCGAATCGGGCGTGTCCCTCCACATGGGGAGCATCCACGAATAACAAGAAAATGGTTTAGGGACGATTTGCCAGCAGTTTTATCTTGTTGTTGTTTGTTTTGTTGGGGGGGGGGTATGTTTGATTCTTGAAGAGTGTTTTTGAGTTTTCGTCCAAGATCCGCCTGTAGGGGGACATGCACAACCTAAAGCCAGTGGCCCCCTGACGCTGCCCCGCACCTCTGGCGGCGTCGGACCGCCACGCAAGCTGCTGGGCTGCGGCGAGTTCGGCAACTACGACTTCAATGCCGTCGAGGTGCGGCACCCGCGCTCGATGCCCCACATGGTCCACAACGCGAGCGGGGCGGAGGGTGAACTCCTGGACACCCTCCTCGTCGTGCCTGGTCTCATGAGCGGCGTGTCGCTTCTGAATCCCTTCCACGTCCTCCACTCCACCATCCCGGCCGCGTGGCAGCTCCATCACCCCAGCTACGGGCTGTGCGTCCCCCGTGACCGGCTCGACGTGCGCCTGGCGTTCCTGTCGGCCTTCCACGGGGGGAGGTCGGCCCACTTCTGGAAGATGTTCACCCGCGTCAGAGGCAAAGAGGACGACACCGCGGACGGCAACAACCAGCAGTTCCTCATCGCGTCGCAGTGGCGATTCTGGTGGGGGCCCCTGACCACTCGGCCGCCCATGCCGCTCGGCGCCGACCCCGGCCCCCGGTGCTACCGCCGGGTGATCTTCGGCAGGGAGCTGTTCCGCACGGGCCGCGGGGGCTTCGGCTCGCAGCGGGTAGTGGACTTCTACAAGCAGTACGTGGCCGCAGTCCTCAGGCTCGGAGGTTGATAGACCTCCTACCCGGACACGTCGATTAGCGAAATGGCCGCTTTCAGTTCGCGAGAGGGCGTCGCTGCCGTCATTTTTGCGGGTCCAGGTCCGTCGGTTTCGGTCCTCAGCCGTTTTCACTAAAGGGAGGTTTACTAAAGGGAGGTGTGTCCACCGCCGACAGGCCACGCCAACGGCCCGTCGGCTCCCCGCGGGCCGCTGCCGGGTCGGACGAGCCCGAGTGGGCCATCTTCGCCGACATGCGGCCTGGGCTGCCGAGGGCGCGCCCCGACCCTTTCGCGCTGGAGGATCCGGGGCAGCGATAGGGGAGGTACGGGGCGTGAAAACGACCACAGCCACTGCTCTTCTCCTGCTGCCGCCTTCCAGCCCGCAGAAACAGAGCAGTGGCTGTGGCCATTTTCGTTGGGCTTGGCACCAGGGAAATGACCACAGCCACTGCTCCTTTTTCGGCCGGCTGGAGGGCGGCGCAGACAAGAAGCAGTGGCTGTGGTAATTTTCCCGTCCCGCAGGGAGGCAGGCTCAGGCGGGGACGCCCATCGATCGCCGATGCGGGCCCGATGGCCCCTCCCCGCCCAGGAACGTGTGGGTTCGCTGTCGGGGGCCTGCCGCCGATCTCTGCGGGTGGTGTGCCTCGCCGGCTCCAGCTCGCCGGTCCCCCCCCCCCTCCGTGAGCCAGTCCCCCCCCCCCCCCTGACCTTGCTCCTCAGAGGAGCTGCAGGAGAGGCACGATGCCCCTTTCTTCACCGCCGATCTGCGGGTGGTGTGCATCGCCGATTCCAGCTCGCCGGTCCCCCCCCCCTGAGCCGGTCCCCCCCCCCTGACCTTGCTCCTCAGAGGAGCTGCAGGAGAGGCACGATGCCCCTTTCTTCACCGCGGAGGGGGCTGCCCGCCTCGCGACGCGGCCCTTCCAGCTCTGGACGGCGGGCGGGGGCGCCGCGCCCGGCGGCGGGGCCGCGCCGGCGGTGCAGACCCAGCTCGCCTTCTCCGCGGCGCCCTCGGCGGCAGGAGCACCTGCGCGAAGGGTGCACGTGCTGCTCGTCCAGCGGCCCAAGGGCGCGGGCAGATGGATCGCCAACGTGGGCGAGGCCGTCGAGTGGCTGCGCGGCTGGGAGCACCCGCGGGCGAGCGTGGCCCTGCTGGTCGCAGACCTGGGCACGCTGCACCCGGCCGCACAGTGGCGGCTGGCGAGCCAGGCGCACGTCCTCGTGGGCGTCACGGGCGCGGCCCTGGCGTGGACGGCGTTCCTGCCTCCGGGGGCGGTCGTGCTCGACCTGTTCCCGCCTGGTTCGGGCTTCTGCAGCGAGGGGTGGGACAGGAACCCCGTGAGCCACTACGGCGGCCTGGCCAGGCTGGCGCGCGTGCGGCACGGCTGCATGGTGCATCCCGCCGAGCTGCAGGGCCCCCTGCCGGAGGGCGGCGACGTCGCGCACGAGGCCCGGAGGGAGATCCGCGAGAAGCTCGGCGGCTTCTGGCACAATCAAGACGTGAGGCTGGACATCGGCAGGATGCAGCGCTTCCTCGGTGAGGCCATCGACTGGGTTCTCGAGCACGCGCCACCCGCGTGAGCACTGTGAGCTGCCAAAGCGGCCTCCGCCCTCAGGCCGTGAAGGGTCTCGGTGGCCAAGCACACCTACGGGGCGGTTGTCGTCGTCGTCGTCGAGTACTTTGAAGGTCTTGGATCATCTCGGCGCAGTCGCAAACCAAGTCGTATCAAGACCTCTTTCGCATTGACGCCGTGATGCAGCGCCTCGGTGGCCTTTTGGATCCTGGTGGTCCTCAGCCGTGGCCAGACGTCCACGTCGGCAGCGACACCACTGCGCGGCGCTTTGGCGACATGTCGGAGCTGCTGACTGTCCAGGGATCGTGGTGAAGTGCAACGTCTCAGCGGAGTGCCAGCTTCATGGCGGCTCGCAATCCTGCAGCAAGGGGGCCAGCACGTGGCGGCTGCAGTGGCTTCCGCGCCAGTGGGCCTGCCAGCAGTGCACGATGGGTCAAGGGGGCCCCAGAGCCTTCAAAGACCTGGCTGATCGAGTGAGTTGCTCACCACTGCTCCAAGGGCGGCGCCCTGATGCACGTGCCAGAACAATTTTCTCGTACGCAGGCTCTGAAACAAGTTGTGCCGCGATCTCATCACCTGCTTTCTGTATCTGTATTGATGCAGTTCCAGAGTGCGATCCATAGGTTGATGGCCCCCATGAGGCGGCGCTCGCGATGATGTTTTGGGCTGCTTGGGAGGTTCGGTGGAGGAGGTGAGTCAGGAGGACAAGAAACACACAGACACAATTAATTCTCGATTCTCCAGAAAATATAGGAACATATGGGAAGTGGGGGGGAAGACGGAAACCCAGAAAATATAGGAAAATATGGGGGATATGTTTATTTGTGTGTATTTATGTGTGTGTCCTTGGGCCCCTTCAGTGAGGCAGAAAGGCCATGTTGGAGACATCCTGGGCCGTGTTGGAGACATCCTGGGGCAGTTTCGAACGCCGAGCCTGGGCGGATCTCGGAACAGGTTTTGGGGCACCTCGCGCTCTGTTGGGACCTCTTGGGGACCTCATCGGCAGGCTCCCAGAGGTCCTCGTGTACTCTTTTCGGGGGTGGACAGATCTCCTACCCTGACACGTCGATTAAGGAATTGGCCGTTTTCGGTTCGCGAGAGGGCGTCGCGGCCGTCGTTTTTGCGGGTCAGGACCGTCGGTTTCGGGCCCAGTCCGTTTTCACTAAGGGGAGGTCTAGTAAAGGGAGGTTTGTCCACCGCCGATTTTTCGAGCGTAGTTTTGATGGAGGCATAGCACTCTGGGCGTATTCGCTATGTGGCGCAATCTATGTGGTGGAAGCTATGGTGTACAAGCCATCTAGTGCACGCTACGTGGTAAAACATGTGTGGGGTAAGCTCTGTGGTGTAGGCAATGCGGTGTAAGCTATGTGGTGTCTCGTGGGCCATCCTTGGGGCCTCATGGGGCGGAAGACTCGGATGCTTTGTTCGTGCTCCCCGTCGTGCAGGAGGAGGAGGAGGGGGGGGAGGAGGAGGAGGAGGAGGAGGAGGAGGAGGAGGAGGGGGAGGAGGAGGAGGAGGGGGAGGGGGAGGAGGAGGAGGAGGAGGAGGAGGAGGAGGAGGAGGGGGAGGAGGGGGAGGCGGAAGACTCGGATTCTTTGTTCGTGTTGGGGCTGTCTCTGGGCCCTTTTGGGCCGTCTTGGGCTCCTCCGGGGCCGACTTGGGGCCCTTTTGGGCCGTGCTGTGGCCCGCCTGGGGGCCTCCTGGGTCGTCTTGGGGCGGTCCTGGGGGCCTCTTGGGCCGTCTGGGAGCGTCGGGAGCTCGAGGACGCCAAGATCATTGAAACACTGATGGGAATCAATGATTTTGGCCTCTCGGGGCCCTCTTGGGAAGGCTCTTGAGGCCCTCTGGGGGCGCCTTGGATGCCTCTTGGGCTTTCTTGGGGCCATCTTGAGCGTCTTGGAGCGATCTTCAGGCGTCTCGAAGCCCTCTTGGGCCGTCTTGGGTGTCTCTTGGGGCCCTCTTCTCGTCTTCGAGCCGTCTTGGATCCGAAGCACTCAGGCGACATGACGCGGGAAGCCCCCGACAAGCGTCGCCCATCCCCGAGAGACTTGGCAGTCCGGGCTCTGGGCCACTCGGGACCCCGCAGGAGTGCGGGCCGAGGCTCCGAGGATTCGGCGAAGGACCCGAGGACACGCCCGCTCCGCGTCCTGAGGGCACGGTGGCAGATCTGGAAGACGGGTGGGAGCCCCTAAAGGCAAACTTGCTATCTGTGGCAGGGCTGTACCCATCGGTCGTTGAAAGTAGGTATTTTTGGATTCCCAGATTTCAATCTACTTTCAGCGCCTTCCTACTTCAAGAGTCGAGTGGTTTTCCCTCTTCCTCCCTCTTCAGGAGGCGTGCGGAAACCCAATCTATTTCCAACGCCTTCCTACTTCATGTTTCTACCTACTTCTTCCGACCGATGGGTAAGACATGTGGACGCTGCACGGGCTCCTAGGAGTCCGATCGGAGTTATCTCCGGGCCGGGTCATCGCGAGAGGGGTAGCGGGGAGGCATTGGCGACAGAGGAAGGATGCGAGTGACACCGACATTGGCTTCGGGGCCCTCTTGGAACGATCCTGGATGCCGACGGTCGAAGGACGAGTGGCGCTCAACGTGCCCGCCATGTAATTTGAAGAACCGCCTCTGGGGGCTCTCCTGCAGCTCTCTGAGTTCTCTAGAGGGCCCTTGGGAACCTGGCTTATCCCGGGGGTTTGGGCGTCTGGGCTGACGGGGGAGAGAGGAGGTAGGAGGTATGCCGAGGAGGGAGGAGGAGGAGGAGGAGGAGGAGGAGGAGGAGGAGGAGGAGGAGAAGGAGGAGGAGGAGGAGGAGGAGGAGGAGGCAGAGGGGGCTGAAGACGATGCTACTGATGATGAAGATGTTGATGATGAAGATGATGATGATGATGATGATGATGATGATGATGATGATGAAGATGCTGATGAGGATGACGATGATGCTGATGCTGATGCTGATGCTTATGATGATGATGATGATGCTGATGCTGCTGATGATGATGATACTGCTGCTGCTGCTGCTGCTGCTGATGATGATGATGATGATAATGCTGATGCTGATTCTGATGATGATGCTGCTGATGATGATTTTGATGATGCTGATGCTGATGCTGATGCTGATGCTGATGATGATGATGCTGGTGATTGTGATGGTGATGGTGATGATGATTCTGCTGCTGATGATGGTGGTGGTGATGCTGATGCTGCTGATGATGATGCTGATGCTGATGATGTGGATGTGATGCTGATGATGATGATGATGATGATGATGATGATGCTGCTGATGATGCTGCTGATGATGCGACGCTGATGATGCTGATGATGATTCTGATGAGGATGCTGATGGTGATGATGATGATGATGATGATGATGATTCTGCAGCTGACGATGATGATGCTGCTGCTGATGATGATGATTACGATGCTGATGACAATTTTGCGGATATTTTGATGATGATGATGATGATGATGATGCTGATGATGATGATGATGATGATGATGATGATGATGATGATGATGATCACATTGATGATGCAGAGGACTACGATGACGATGATGATGATGCTGATGTTGATGATGCTGATGGTGGCGATGATGATGCCGATTATGATGCTGATGCTGATACTGATGGCGATGATGGTGATGCTGCTGCTGATGTCAGTGATTTTAATGACGACGCTGATCATGATGGCAACGACGATGCTGGTGGTGTTGATGATGATGCGGCTGATGATGATGATGATCACATTGATGATGATGATGATGATGATGATGATGCTGATGATGATGATGATGATGTTGATGATGCTGATGATGATGATGATGCTGCTGCTGCTGCTCATGATGCTGATGATGATAATGCTGATGCTGATGATCATGACGCGACTGCTGATGCTGATTATGATGGTGATGGTTATGATGTTGTAGATCCTGCTGCTGATGCTGATGATGCTGCTGCTTCTGATGGTGATGATACTGCTGATAATGCTGATGCTGCTGATGATGATGCTGCCGATGATACTGATGCTGCTGATGGTGATGATGATGCTGATGATGATGCTGATGATGATGATGACGATGATGATGACGACGATGACGATGGTGATGCTGATGATGATGCTGCTGCTGCTGTCGATGATGCTGATGAGGGTGCTGATGCTGATGCAGATGTTGCTGCTGTTCATGATGATGATGATGCTGTGGAGGATGATGATGCCAACGATGCTGCTGCTGATTCTGATGATGATACTGCTGATGCTGGGGTGATGATGATGATGCTGAGATGACGGTGATGCATATTATGGTGATGCTGATGCTGCTGCTGATGATGCTGATGCTGATGATGATGCTGATGCTGCTGATGATGACGGTGATGGTGATGATGCTGATGCTGATGATGATGCTGCTGATGATGACGATGGCGATCATGCTGATGCTGATGTTGATGATGCTGATGGTGGCGATGCTGATGCTGATGATGATGATGATGATGATGATGATTATGAAACGGACGATGATGAGGCTGATCATGATGATGATGCTGATGTTGCTGCCGATGGTGATTCTGCTGATGCTGATGATGTTGCTGCTGATGATGATGCTGTTGCTGATGATGCTGCTGATGATGATGAGGATGGTGGTGATTATGGTGGTGATGGTGACGATGATGCTGCTGCTGACGATTATGACGATGAATAGGATGATGCGTATGATGATGATGATGTTGATGCTGGGGTGATGATGATGCTGATGATGATGACGATGATGATGATGATTATGATGGTGATGATGATGCTGCTGATGCTGATGCTGATGCTGCTGCTGATGATGATGATGCTGCTGCTGATGAGGATGATGCTGCTGATGATGATGATAATGATGACGATGAAACTGATGATGATGATGATGATGCTGATGCTGATGATGATGACGATGATGATGATGATGACGATGATGATGATGATGATGATGCTGATGATGACGATGCTGATGCTGCTGATGATGATGATGATGATGATGTTGTTGATGATGAGGTTGAGGATGATGATGCTGATGATGCTGATGGTCCTGCTGATGATGATGATGCTGATGATGATGATGATGATGATGATGATGATGATGATGATGATGATGATGATGATGATGATGATGGTGATGATGCTGATGATGCTGCTGACAAGGAGGAGGACGAGGAGGCGGAGGAGGATGAGGTCCAGGAGGAGGAGGAAGAAGAGCAAGGGAGGAGGACGTCAGAAGGAGGAGGAGGAGGAGGAGGAGGAGGAGGAGGAGGAGGGAGGGAGAGGAGGAGGCGGAGGAGGAGGAGGAGCGGAGGAGGAGGAGGAGGAGGAGGAGGAGGAGGAGGAGGAGGAGGCGGGAGGAGGAGGACGAGGAGGACTAGGAGGAGGAGGAGGAGGAGGAGAGGAGGAGGAGGAGGAGGAGGAGGAGGAGGAGGAGGAGGGGGAGGGGGAGGGGGAGGAGGGAGGAGGGAGGGAGGGGAGGGAGGGAGGGAGGGAGGGAGGGAGGAGGAGGAGGAGGAGGAGGAGGAGGAGGAGGACAGAGGAAGAGGAGGAGGAGGGGGGAGGGTGGGGACAGGTAGGAGTGAGCAGGGGCGGGAGAAGGGCAGAGGATGGAGGGAGGGAGGGGAGCATAGGATCAGATTCGGACGCGTGCAGGCCGTGCTCGCGCGCGGATGAGACGCGCACGCTGCAGCGCTGCAGGTGGATACACGCGCGTGGCGCGCGACTTGCTGCTCTGGCAGAACGCGCGCACCTGCTCCTCTGGCCAGCACCCGGGGTGCTCGGACACCAGTGCGTCGGAGGCCCCCCAGGCGGTGTGGTGATCACACCGTGCGGTGAGTCAGGAGGTGGTCGGGGTCACCGCACGGCTTTCTGAGTCGGGTCGCTCTCCGAGGACCCCTCGGGCGAATGGGGCCTCCGAGGTCCTCGAACCGTGCGGTGACGGACCGTGCGGTGAGGTCCTTCGGGCTTTCGAGGTCACCGTACGGTCTGTCACTGCACGATTTTGGGACCCTGAGGTGGGCGTGTGCCCCGAGCGTTCCTTGGGCGAGACCGCTTGCGTAGCGCCCGTGTGTTGCCTCTCACCGTGCTCGCCCCGGCCGCCTGCTCGGAGATTCACGTCCTGCTCCCCTCCGCACCTCTCAGAGGAGGAGTAGGAGGAGGTACCGATACTGCTACCCTGGCCTTGTCTTCGCCTTCTTGGGCCTAGAAAGCTCTCGTCGCCACGGCTGGATTTGCCCCGAACTTTCGGTCAGAACGCACAGATGTCCAGTGAGTTGCGGTATTGATACCTTTCTGTTTCCGCAATTCCTCCCCGCCTCGCTCGAATCTGCTCCCTCGGCTCAAAGTATCTGTCTACGCGGCGGCCCGGAATGGAAGATTTTGAGAAGGCCATCCTTGTTGTGTTTGACCAAGGCGGGCCCTTCTACTCCTTCGTCGGGGAGGAGGAGGTCGCGTTCGTACCGGGGGCGCCCAAGAGGGGAATGATGACAGGGGCGGGAGGGGGGGGGGGGCTAATCATGTCAGGAGGGGAAAAATCACACAGACACAATTAATCGTCGATCCCAAGGAAAATATGGGAAAATATGGGAAGTGGGCGGGAAGACAAGAACCGAGAAAATATGGGGAATCCTGTCATTTGTGTGTATTTATTTGTGTGTCCCGGGGCCCCTTCATCATGGCCCGAGGCAGGCGCGCGGACCAAGGGGGGGGGGATCAAGGGACGTCTTGAGAGAAGAAGGGGGCCACGAAATCTTGGGAGGCTTCATGGCCACAGTCATGACATTCAGCCCTCCCCATCCTCAGAACGCGTGTCAGCCCACTGTGTGTTTACCCCGTTCCACCCAGCCGGTCGATCATCACATCGCCTTCGTCGTAGTGAAGGGCCTCAGTTGACAACCACACGTTGGCGCTAGCACACGTTCTGAGGATCATCGATAGTTGCTCCCTCCTGGACGCCCCCGATCGCATTGTTGGCGGCAGGATGCGCAGTGCCATCCCGCAGGGAGGAGGAGGAGTTGGAGGAGGAGGAGGAGGAGGAGGAGGAGGAGGGAGGACGAGGACGAGGAGGAGGAGGAGGAGGAGGAGGAGGAGGAGGAGGAGGAGGAGGAGGAGGAGGAGGGAGGAGGAGGAGGAGGAGGAGGAGGAGGAGGAGAGGAGGAGGAGGAGGAGGAGGAGGAGGAGGAGGACCTCCTCATCCTCCCTGCTCCCCCGTCCTACCTACGGCAGTGGTGGCAGAAAATTCGCCCTTCAGGGCAGGTGCGCGCGCACGCGGCGTTCGCATCTCAGCGGGCCAATTGGCGCGAGTGAGGGGCGTGTACCAGGGTCGAGGCCATCGTGTGGTCATCGTGTGGGCTGGCCAGGGAGGGACGAGGAGGGTGCTGCGAACGAGGTGGGGAGTGGAGGCGGGAGGAGGAGTAAGGGGGGTCATCGGGGTAAGGGCGGCGAAGGAAAGAGAGGAAGGGGGCGGGGAGGAAGGGAGGGCGTGAAGGGGGAAGCAGGAGTAACACGACGACGAGGACGAGACTCACCAACTATGTTGCAATAACCCCTCCCTCCAAGTTCCCTCTTCACAGGTCCTTGTAAGTATATGATTTCACAGAGGGATGTGCCCCGTTGGAGGACAATTGTTTGATACATCTGAGCCGTGCCAAAAACATCACTCCTGGGACTTCAACGCCATACGGAGGCGGGATAGCGAAGAGAGGGTACCGAAAGAGGGGAAGGAGGATAACATGGGCGAGGATGAGGAGGAGGAGGAGGCGGAGCAGGTGGAGGAGGAGTAAGAGGAGGATGTGGATGAGAAGGAGGATGAGGATGGGGATAAGGATGAGGATGATAATGATGATGAGGATGAGTCTGAGGATGGTGATGATGACGACGATGATGCTGATGATGATGAAGATGCTGCTGCTGCTGATGATGATGCTGATGATGGCGATGATGACGACTCTGATGCGGATGCTGATACTCATGATGATTATGATGATGATGATTATGATTAGGATGACGATGATAATGATGATGATACTGTGCTGCTGATGATAATGCTAATAACAATGATGATGCTGCTGCTGATGATGCTGATTGTGGTGACGATGATGATGATGGTGATGATGATGGTGATGATGATGACGAGGATGATGATGTTGATGATGTTGATGATGATGATGATGATGAACATGATGATGATGCTGCTGATGATGATGATGCTGATGATGATGATGATGATGATGATGATGATGATGATGATGATGTTGGGCATGCTGCTGCTGTTGCTGCATGTCATGATGATGAATATGATGATAATGCTGATGATGTTCTGCTGCTGATGGAATTGACGATGATTATGCTGCTGACGATTATGCGGCTGATGCTGCTGTGGGTAGTGGTGGTGGTGGTGGTGATTATGCTATTGTTGTTGTTGTTGTTGTTGTTGTTGTTGATGGAGTTGATCCTGTTGATTTTGATGATTCTGATGATGCTGCTGCTGCTGATGATGATGATGCGTTGACGATGGTGATAGCGATGATTCTGATGAGGCTGAGGATGCCGATGCTGATGCTGCTGATGCTGTTGATGATGAGTATGATGCTGCTGATGATGATGATGGGTTGGCGATGATGATAACGATGCTCCTGATGAGGCTGATGATGCCGATGCGATTGATGATGCTGCTGATGATGCTGATGATGACGATGCTGATGCTGATGCTGATGCTGATGCTGATGATGATGATGATGATGATGATGATGATGATGATGATGATGATGATATGGTGATGGTGATGGTGATGGTGAGGGTGATGATGCCGCTGATGATGAATATGATGATGATGATGATGAATATGATGATGATGATGATGATGATGATGATGATGATGATGATGACGATGATGATGATGATGATGATGATAATGATGATGATGTTCATGATGATGATGTGGATGATGATGATGATGATGCTGATGATGATGATGATGATGATGATGATGATTATGATGATGGTGATGATGTTGCTCATGCTGATGATGCTGATGATGATGATGATGATGATGATGATGATGATGATGATGATGGTGGTGATGGTTGTGGCTATGATGACGCTGCTGCTGATGATGTTAATAATGATGACCGTGATTGCGAAAGCGCGCCACTGGATCACACTGTAATTGAAAGGGGGGGGTGCTCGCAGACCCCCCCCTCCGCCCAATCAAGGGGGGGGGGAGATTTTCGACCCCCCCCCCCTCTCCCTTAGGGAGGGGGGGGGGTCCGAACCACCCCCTTCCCCCCCGCCCCTGAAGGGGAGGGGGGTCCGACCCCCCCCCTCCCCCCCTTGGCGCTGGAAGGGGGGGGGGGGGTCGACCCCCCCCCCCCTCCCCCCTTTTGCGCCGAACAGGGGAAAGGGAAGGGGCCCCTCCCGCAGGGGGGGTCAGGCCTCGGGATAGTGAGTGAGGAGTAGAGAGTAGTGAGTAGTGAGTAGTAAGTAGTGCATAGTGGCAGTGAGTAGATAGTAGCGAGTAGTGAGTAGTGAGTATTGAGTAGTGAGTAGTGTGCAGTGAGTAGTGAGCAGTATGTAGTGAGTAGTGCGTAGTGGGGAGTGGCTAGTGAGTAGTGAGTAGCGAATCGGGAAGAATAGGGATTAGCGAGTGGTGCAGAGTAAGTAGCGAGTAGGGCATTTTGAGTAGTGAGTATTGCGCAGGGAGCAGTCAGTAGTGAGTAGTGAGTAGGGAGTAGTGAGTAGCGAGTAGGGAATAGCGGGTAGTGAGTCGTGAGTAGTGAGTAGTGAGTAGCGAGTAGCGAGTAGGGATTAGTGAGAAGTGCGAAGTGGGTAGTGATGGTGGGTAGTGCGTAGGGAGTAGCGTGTCGAGTGTAGTGAGTAGTGAGTAGTGAATCGTGAGTAGTGAGTAGTGAGTACTGAGCAGTGAGTAGTGACTTGTGACTAGTGACACGTGAGTAGGGAGTAGGAGGTAGGGGGCAGTGAGTAGTGAGTAGTGAATCGTGCGTAGGGGGTAGTGTATATTGCGTATCGGGTAGCGAGTAGCGAGTAGCGAGTAGAGAGTAGCGAGTAGTGAGTAGTGCGTAGTGAGCAGTGAGTACTGTATAAGGAGTAGGGAATAGCGAGTAGCGGGCAGCAGATAGTGAGTAGTGAGTTGTGGGCAGTGAGTAGTGAGTGGTGAACTGTGCGTACTCAGTAGTGGGTAGTGGATTGTGGTTAGTGGTTTGTGAGTAGTGGTTAAGCAGTAGTGAGTAGTTGGTAGTGAGCAGTGTTTAGTGAGCAGTGAGTATTGAGTCGTGGGTATTGCATAGTGAGTCGTGAGTATTGAGTTGGGAGTTGTTAGTAGTGAGTAGTGAGTAGTGGGAATTAGGTAGTGAGTAGTGGGCCGTGAGTAGTGAGTCGTGACTAGTGAGCAGTGAGTAGTGCGAAGTGAGTAGCGAGTAGTGAGTAGTGGGTGGTGAGAATAATGAGTACTGAGTACTGTTTGGGGCTAGGATTCGGGCTTGGCCTTTGTGTTACGGTTGGTCGGGGTGGTATTGTTAGGGGTGGTAGGGGTCGGGTTCCGTTGCCATGGGGCGCCGTGGCGAAGGGGGGGGGGTCGAATTTGGCTGCCGAAGGGGGGGAGGGGGGGGGTCCGGACCCCCCCCCACTTTTTTGAAAGGGAAGATGGGGGGGGGATTCCCCGACGACGGACCGGGAAACGGGGGGAGGGGGGAGGGGGTTCCCCGACGACGGATTTGGAAATGGGGGGGAGGGGGGGGGGTCCCCGACGACGGATCGGGGAAAGGGGGGGGAGGGGTTCCCCCCCCCTTTTGGGGAGATCCAGCGGCGCGCCTTCCGTGATTTCTCCGATGGCGGTGCTGCTGCTGCTGCTGCTGATGATGATGATGATGATGATGAGGATGATGATGATGGTGATGCTGATGATGCGGATGATCATGATGATGCTGATGCTGATGATGATGGTGATGATGATGATGTTGCTGATGATGATGATGATAATGATTATGATGATGATGATGATGATGATGATGATGATGATGATGATGATGATGATGATGATGATGATGATGATGATGGTGATGATGCTGACGCTGACGATCGACCATGGAGCTATTCGATTTAGTGGTTGAAAGAGCAATCGCTGATGTCGGCTCTGCTGCTCAGCTCGGCTAAGACGCTTCTTCACGACGTGGTCGAACGGGATTGCGGCAATGACGACCACGCTCGCGCACACCGCGAACAACACCAGGGATCAGGATCTCTGAAACCTCCACGAGCCTCTGGGCGAACTGCCCCCGATCCGAGCCTCGGGATGGTCGCACGGCGCAGTCGTTACCCTCGCGCCCCCAAGCGGACATGGAAAAGGAAGGCACAGGGACAGCGTGCACTCAAGGGAAGCCGTCGGCGGCGGCGGC